TTTTTGTGATCCTTGCATGAAAGCGCTTGACGGCAATGAATGTAGCTACAGAGAGACAGAGACACGGGTCACACTGGGAGAGGAGGGCTGACATGCAGTCATCGCCACCAGGAGCCAACTGTCATTGGCTAAGCCTGTGGCCAGCTGTGATTGGCTAAGCCCGTTCAAGGTGAGATGCTAGCCAATAACGGTGCTTCCAGACACACACAGTACAACACCCGCAGCTTTGTGAATTGTCTGAGGGGTCACTAACCTCAGATGACCATCTGTCAGTAGTGCGGCCCCTAGATCGCTACATGCTTGGCTGTGATAGTGACTCTGCCCACAGCCGATGTCGCGCTCTTTGCGTAGCCTGTCACTCTGCCTCTCGCGCTCCCTGCGGTGCCCTCCTGCTGTGCCGTAATTACTCGCCCGTGTTCTCCTTTTATCTGACGTCTTCTGTCGCCTGACGGGTTGCTAAGCACGTAGACGCACCTTATGTTGGCAGCTCGGCCATTTCCTGTCCCCCTGGAGGCCGAGATCGATAACCCTGTCACGCGGCTGTTTTTCTAAGAAGCTTTAAAGTGCTTCCCTAACGAGCTTCTAGGAACACAAGATTCCTGAAGGAATCGGCTCATCCTGTCACATAGTCAGCCCGTCACTGTAACGTAACCCAACGAACGTTGGTTCTACCGGATTGTCTGAATTATTGCGTGACTCAGAATACCGGGAAACAATGTGCTAACAGAGTTACCTTGATGCCGATGATGCCAGAGCAGGACTCATCGTAATGGTTCCTTTTATAGTGAAAGGCCATCTGACTGGAGACTGGTTACACAGCAGATCGGCTCGGAGCTCACAGTTGGGTCTTTGAGTAAAAAGGTCTTATCGGCACACATGCCTGCCCTCCCACTCAGACCAGCCCGGAGGGATTTTGGGAGTCATCATTACTTGTGTGTAGGTATGTCAACCGCCCCAGCGAGCCGCGGTGGCATCTGTGATGCCCGTCGTCCCGTTTCCGCCGCGGGCAGCCCCTCGATTTACGTAACTGACATTGAGACATTGAGTACTCTCTGTCACGCATCTGGCCGCACCATCCGTCATCGCCGTGGCAATGCTCGAGGCATCCAAAAGGATGGATGGTGGTGGGGGGGGGGGGGATTTGGAAAAACATGATGGACCCCCTCCCCATTGGGGAAATTCAATCAATGATGGAGCGAGCTGGACCTGTCGATAAGCCCCATTCAGTGTGACAGGACACCGTCGATGTGTCACAGGCCCCCGGGGGAGTCCTGCCAGCACCCCCCACCTGATTGACAGGCAGCGGGGGGATATGGCTTCTCAGAGATGTGATGACTTTTTTCATTGATCTTTAGATCAGTTGTAGTTGGGATTCATTAAAATTCACAGGATGTTCGCGTGCAGGTGAGTCATCTGTGCTGATGCTCCACCAGTGGCCCTCGCTGCCCTCTGCATGGTCGCCCTCGGCAATGACCTTTGCCCTTTAGCACACTGACTCATGGCCCCCAGCTCCTGGCCTCTCAGTGCCAACAGCCCTGCACCCCGCCCCAGTTCCAGCAGGACCATCTGCATTAGCCAGCTGACTGCTTCCGCAGCTGTGACGCATGCCCTCGTATACAGATACAGTAAAGAAGGAGGAGGAAGGGGAGAGATAGTGAGGGAGGCAGTGAGAGAGGCTATGAGGGAGGCAGTGAGGGAGGCAGTGAGAGAAGCCGTGAGATAGGCCCTGAGGTAGGCCCTGAGGGAGGCCGTGAGGGAGGCCGTGAGGGAGGCCGTGAGAGAGGCAGTGAGGGAGGCAGTGAGAGAGGCAGTGAGAGAAACCATGAGGGAGGCAGTGAGAGAGGCAGTGAGAGAAGCCGTGAGGGAGGCAGTGAGATAGGCAGTGAGGTAGACCCTGAGATAGGCAGTGAGAGAAGCCATGAGGGAGGCCGTGAGGGAGGCCGTGAGGGAGGCCGTGAGGGAGGCAGTGAGAGAGGCTGTGAGAGAGGCTGTGAGAGAGGCAGTGAGAGCCCTCGGGAGGATGCTGGGAAAACTGGGCTCTCAGAAGCCCTTGCAGGGAACAGAGACAGCACCATTCTGACCTGTGTTTGTGGGCCAGATAATGTCACCCCGGCGATGTGGGTGCCGGGTCATCGATATCCCTGTCCCCAGGACAGTGGGATGGGCTGCTGGCACGGATCAGTGCACACACTGCTGGTGTCTGATTAAAATAACCCAGGGGGGGGGTGTCTTCGACAGTTCCTGTGACCCTGACCCATCTGAGTCTCTGACCTTAATCTGGGCATGTGGCTGGGGAACCTTGACCTTGACCTGCGAAGTGTCTGCTTGTGGGCTTCAGACCTTGATTGGGAGGGTGTGTCTCTGATGGGGAGTGTCTCTGATGGGGAGTGTCTCTGATGGGGAGTGTCTCTGATGGGGAGTGTCTCTGGGGTGTGTCTCTGATGGGGAGTGTCTCTGATGGGGAGTGTCTCTGATGGGGTGTGTCTCTGATGGGGAGTGTCTCTGATGGGGAGTGTCTCTGATGGGGAGTGTCTCTGGGGTGTGTCTCTGATGGGGAGTGTCTCTGGGGGGGTTGGGGGGGTGTGTCTCTGGGCTGCTTGTCTGCAGGCATGTCAGGGTCTGCCAGTATCCTCCTCAGTCGTCTTAATTCACCCTTGAACAGCTTAGACACTTAAAGTAAGAAATCATTTATCAACCGGGAGACACATGAATGAATGTGGCGGACAGACTCGGCTGGGGGCTCCTGGCGTCCCTGAAGGTCATACTTTCTGCAGAGTGAAAGGCTCTGTAGCAGCCCAGGACCTTGACACGCCTCCGTCTCAAGCGAGCTGATTTCCCGCGGATTTTCAGGCAGGAGCACAGAGACCCCACTATGCCTCATCTGCTGGCATCTAACCCTGCGTGTCCAGCCTGCTGTGCCGCTGCCCGTTTATGTCACTCCTGTGTTTAGCTCTGCCTGCCTCTATATGCCTTAACGTTGATTTAATGATTCTATACATTTCTTTTGTGTATTTCCCTAGATATGGTCGTGGCGTGTGGCAGTATCACTTCATGTCACATGATCCATGCTCTTACCTGGGTAATGTCCCCTGTCCCTTGTCCCCTGTCCCCTTGCCGACATGCTGGTTCTCCTTTGATTGAGAGAGACACCCCTGTAATGTCAGCCTGAGACTCCCTCATTCAGTGTCGTTAAATGCTCTGAAGTTCCCGCCGTCTCTCAGTTGCATGAGGAACCCTCTTGGATTTATCTCTCCATTATTAACCCCCTGTGGCATGTTGGCTTTTTTTTTTCCTTTGGGCATAATTGGCGTTTGCTTTGAAGCAGATAATTGTGGCATTTTAATGCTGCTTCATTTGATATTACCTACCAATAAATTCTTAAGATGGATGATAAGGTGGTTAGGCCTGAATAAATTAATATGCTCTGTGGTAATAATTCACTTTAAGTGGTTTTCTTGGAAGGAAAAAAAAATCACTGAAGCATTTGTGGGATACTGGTTGCAGTCGTGTTCCTGGCCGTGTATTTCAGAGTTTTGGCAGCTGTGTTGGCTGGTATTGACTTTATTTACTTTTTTTTTTCCTCTTGTGCAAGTTGAGGCTGTCCCCAATCTTTTATGGTGCCGGCTCCGCTGTGCAGCAGCGCAGACGCACGGGGATATGGCTCTAGGCTCAACGCAGCGACTGCGCAGCTCGACAAATGACTTTGGACAGCAGCTGGAAATGAGTGCCACAGGACTTCTGATAAAACGAAAGACAGAAATAAGCCAAACCTATATGGCCTCGTTTCACCACAGGACGAGCACCATTGCTGCTATTCATAAAGAACTCTGTTGTGGTGGAAGGGAGTTCTGGAAGTGGTCTGAGGACTCTGGAGAATGAATAAGACCCTGTAACGCTGGTAAATTCCTTCACGCAGGTACTTACTGGAGCGACATAACTAGTAGAGGCCGGGTGACATCCTTGTTTACAAACACAGGAAGATCGTCCTTTACTTCAGTAGCCTTTGCCTTAAAGTCTGGATGTCTGGATGTCTTATCCAAATCCCTTTTGAACTGCACTTTTACTCAAAACTGAAAGGCATTTGAAAGTATAGAAACTGAATATTTCCCAGAACACTCTATACTTATATATCCCTTTGACAAATAAAATTGTATCTTTTATTGTATATATAAAAGTGAAGCCGTAGGCTGGAGTGTGACAGTGCTGAATCTGTACAGCCCCCTTGTGCTGTCTGCTACTTACTGGGCTTGGAGACTGTAATGTCAGGCTTAGTGAACCAGAAGAAAAGTCAGACCTGTTTAAGTTGAGCAGTATCAGTGATTAATCCATGCTTCCCTCTGGACAACTGCCGTCTGCCAAGCGAGAGCCGTAAATTGAAGTTTTGTTCCTTCAAGCGTAGTAAATATTTAAACAACAAAAAAAAATAGCAGATAGTAATTTGTTCCCCGGGGTGACCCAGGGACGGCCTCTGCCGCTCGTGGCAGAAAGCCGTGGACATTTCTGGAAACTTGTCTGAGGCTCTCTGTGTTTCGGGAAGCGGATGGATCCCGAAATAAACAGAGAGCCAGAGAACGTCCCTCCATATCGGGCGCCATCCTCGCTCATTCTCTGGGCTAATAAATCATTCAGGAGAGACAAGCGCATGCCTGCAGCTCACCGTGCCTGCGTGTGGCGCCGTGCCTGCAGTTTTCCGTGCCCGCGTGTGGCGCCGTGCCTGCAGTTTTCCGTGCCCGCGTGTGGCGCCGTGCCTGCAGTTTTCCGTGCCTGCAGTTTTCCGTGCCCGCGTGTGGCGCCGTGCCTGCAGCTCTCAGTGCCCGCGTGTGGTGCCGTGCCTGCAGCTCATCATACCTGCGTGTGGCACTATGCCTGCAGTTCTCCGTGCCCGCGTGTGGCGCCGTGCCTGCAGTTTTCCGTGCCCGCGTGTGGCGCCGTGCCAGCACTGGCTGTCCCTGGTGAGTGGGTCACCAGCGTATTAATTCTGGGCTCCATCTCACTCGCAGTTCGACATGCAGCGGATAACGCTGGAGGAGCTCAAGCATGTCCTGTTCCACGCATTCCGCGACCACCTCACGATGAAGGACATTGAGAACATCATCATCACCGAGGAAGAGAGCCTGAACGAGAACTCTGGGGGCTGCCAGACGGAGTTCGAGGGGGGTAAGTATGGCCATTCTTGGGAAGTACCAGCCAGGGTCTGACGTCTGTCACTGGCCCCCATCACCGCAGCTCACCCTGGTGATGTGGTGACAATGACATCATGCACCGGTGTGATGTCTAACCCTAACCTCGCTCCTGATCCTGCCCTCACTGTAAGGCTACCTCTCTGCTGCACATCTGGGCAGTGGCTTGAGGTCGCTCTCGATTGCGGGGCATGGATGTCCTGGCAGATTCAGGGGCCCTTGTATATGTAAAGTTGGGCGGGGGGGGGTCCAAGGCGACGTCTTGTCAGGGGTCCAGTTACGCCTCTGATAATAGCCAGTACTTGGATGGGAGACCAACTGGGAAAGCTGGGCTGCTGCTGGAAGAGGTGTTAGTGTGGCCAACAGGTTAGTCAGTCCTGTGGTCTGTGTGGGTCCCAGTGCAGTGATGGGGACACTGTGCTGTAAAAATGGCGCCACCCTTTGGATGAGACTTAAAACCTCCTGACTCTCTGAGGTCATAAAAGATCCCTGGGCATCTTACCAAAGAGTAGGGGTGGTACCTTGATGTCCTGGCTAAAATTGCCCAATGTGCCCCTATCAAATCTGGCCTCCTAACCATCCCCTGTGTCTAATTGGTGAATTCTCTCCTGCCCATTCACCACCTCAACTGCCAGCGTACTGGTGCAGAATGGCTGACGTCACATTACCCAGGTGGGGGCTACAGAGTGGTGGTGGTTGAAGTGTCTCCCCATTGGTTCTGTTAAGCGCTTTGGGTGTCTTGAAAAGCGCTATATAAGTGTAACATTCATTCATTAACTCACCCAAATGACAAGCCGGAAGGTTTTAACACGTCCTGCAAGTGCCGTCCGCACACCCGTAATTTACAGGCCAGAACGCTACTGTAACGCTGCATCAATGCTACATTAACCGTGCTGTAACTCCCAGTCATTACGCCTGTAGCTTATGGGATGTAGCAGCCGTAACTCACAGACCGTATTCACGCTCTCTACGTCAGCACTAACCAGCAGGAAGAAAGCCTTGCTGCCGGGACAGAGACTGTTCCTTCCTATTGCCTTGTCTTTCCATGAATTATTTATCATCCGGTCTGAATAAAAATGATAATGTCATACGTAATTATTCTGAAATCCACGGGCTGTTCATGCATCTCAGCGCGTGCTGTCTTTGGAGAAGGTGCTTTCATGTTTTTAACATCCTTGACAAGCACTCGCTGCAGGAAATCGAGTGGAGTGAAAATTAATGCTATTTAACATGACTGGCCGTAAACAAGGGATGTTAGATGGAGTGCAGCCGGCTTGGCCTCTTGTCATGAATAAATCGGTGTGGCTTTGAATGTTGATGGGTCTTCTGAGTGAAGACCCCGCTGATGTTTATAGGGTTTAGCAGGAAGGCGAGCCAGTGCTTGTCTGAGGGTTTTGTTTTGCCTGGGAATAGTATTGTGACTGCTGGCGTCCATCACACTAGAGGTACGGCCGGAACAGAGTGTGGGGGAGTGGGTCATGTGCAGAAAATGAAGAGAAGCTGGCGGAGGTGGTGCTGGGGTCAGAGCTGACCTGGGGAGCTGACTTGGTTTGGCACCGGCTGACCCTGTGCAGCGCTGCCACATGTCCTCCACCACGCCGGCCAGAATTTTACTAAAGCAGATTCCAGTTCGAATCACTGCTGCAGGCTGGGTCAGGTCAGCTACAACACTTCTCTCCAACACTGCCTGGTCCCTCCCGGGACTCAAACCTGCAACCATCTGGTGCACTTATTAAATGCTACCTGCTCCCGGCACTGCTTGCACCAAAAATATAAGATCCCCACTCCCTAGAAAAGGATGGTTCATTCACAGCAAAAGGTCTATGATAATTCTTTTATGACACTTAGAAATGTGTCATTATTTTTTTTTACACCTGGTGAATATTGACAGACTTCATCAGTGCTGACAACTTAATCTCCTTTAATGTTACATAATTACATTCTTGGTTTCCCAAAGGAATCCCCAGGTAGGTTCTGTACCTGCAGATGTTCTGCTGAGCTCCTCATGTCTCTTTCCGTTCTCCTGTCTCTGATGCAGTCCACCCCACGAAGAAAAACCGCCAGACGTGTGTTCGCAAGAGCCTGATTTGCGCCTTCGCCATGGCCTTCATCATCAGCGTCATGCTCATCGCGGCCAATCAGATGCTGCGGAATGGCATGGAGTAGCCAGTCAAGCCACACCCACTCCACCCCCCCCCCCACCCCACTGTGAGCGGGAGAGCAACCTGCATGTGCATGCCAGTGGGTGATGTCATTTCCTGTTTTCTTAAAAAACCTCTGAAATTACCAATAAAAAAAGAAAATCGAACCCACCTCACAATAAAGACGACGGACTGTGAGGATGAAACTTGAGCGGCAGACGTGTCTTGCAAGACTGAAGCCAGCAGGGGGCCTCGTTCGGGGTCTCCCCTCCATCTCTCTGGCAGGGACATTCAAGGGCTGACCTATCCTGTATCACACTAATGCAATAACGTGCAGGAGTCCGGAATGCTCTCTGAGCTGGGGGGCCTGAGCCAGGGCGTCCAGCCCAACGCCTGTCAGTCCTGCGTCCTCTCCGTGTGCGCTGGGAGCCGGCTCTCGCAAAGTGCTTAATTAGTGCCACAATTTCTTGGCATTTTTAAGTGATGCCATTATTCGGGGCAACACTGGAGGCGAGGGTATTTGTATGTGGTGGGGGGGCGGGGGGGGTTTCAGAGTAAGGTAACAATGGTCTGACTGGACCCAGTAAGTGGGAGCAGCTGCCCAGCCGAGCTCCGCGTTTGGGCCCGGACAGTTCCTGTGGGGTGAGCGATTCTGCACCATGTCTCTCTGTCACTGTGTTGCATCATTTGTTTTATCAGGGATTTTCTGTTTCACAGCCGATTATGAAACGATTACACTGTACAAAACCAGCCATTATGAACAGACACACTGCCAAGCGAAGCCAGCGGCCGCGTTTGTCTGTGTCCACGCTGGAGGTGTCCTTTGGGAGGGCAAAACACACACACACACACACTATTTGCTTGGCCCTGCAGTCCAGATCTGTAGCCCTCGTGACCAAACCCCACCCCCCAGGGACGGATTATGGGTTGTGTGGGCCCCTGGGCAAAACGTTCGCGAGGGCCCCCCCACCACCACCACCAGCACCACCACCACAATTCAAGGGCCCTTGACAGCCAAATGCCCTCCCTCCATGTTTCCATCAGAGGCCCAATAGGGTCAGGGGCCCTTGTAGGCAGAGGATCAAAGAATGTA